AGGTTTTTTTCCTGCTTTCTCCTCTAGGGTTTTCATGGTTTCCTCACATTCAGGTCCTTTATCCATTTTGGGTTTATTTTTTTGTACAGTGTAAGCAAGTGATCTAGTTTTATTCTTCTGCATGTTGCTGTCCAGTTCTCCCAACACCATTTGTTAAAAAGACTATACTTTTTTCCATTGGACACTCTTTCCTGCTTTGTCAAAGTTTAGTTGGCCATACATTTGTGGGCCCAATTCTGGGGTCTCTATTCTATTCCATTTCTCCTACTCCTAAAAGCAATGTTTTTCTCCTGGAAATCAGGTACTGAGTTGGAAGGCATAAATTCCAAAGGAAAAGGAAATAAGCAGAGATCTGAAACTAATAACCATTCTTGTGGATATATTTCTTAGAATTTAGCATCCCCATTATGGTAAGCAAAGTAGGTGATCATTTACTGTGTATAATTTGAAAGACAGTGATGTAAAATCCATTTTATTAAAAATATCTTCCCCTCCAGTTTTCTTCAGTGTCTTTCATCCTTCCATTAAAAATAAATGATTAACACTTTGAATTAAAGTTTATCCCTAAACCTTGGATTCAGATATCCCTGGGCAAGTTCATACTATGCCAACATTATTCACTAGCATCTCAGTATGAATAAATTGATCAGATTTATTGGGTGGTCCTAACTAAGCAGAATAAGAATACAGGACATTTGTCCTCTCTTTGCATGATGTAAATTAGCTGCAACGGCTTCTGGACCACCTAATAAATGGCTCTAACCCCTTCAACCATTCCTCTAAGAAATGTAGTAATGTTCTAGAAAGATTTTCCCTCCCTTTTGGAAAAAAATAAATATGTTTAAAGTGAAATTAATATGTTGGGATGAGCACCGGGTATTGTATGTAAGCCAATTTGACAATAAATTATATTAAAAAAAATGAAGTCTCTGGTATCCCAAAATGACCCTAAGAAGTGTAACCCATTCTAATATAAAAAGTAGTAATGAAATATAGTATAGGTAAGACTCTTCCATTATAAGTACTCATAAAATTATTACTTTTGATACCATTACAACACTAAATTATATTCAAAAATAAATCACTTTAAAGAAAACAGACCAGACAGAGATAGTTACAGTCTCTGAAACACAACTTAACACTCATTCATAACTCATTTAACACATAAAAATATGGACCTTGCAATGAATAATTAGGATATAAATACACTATTTAGCAGCACAAAGTGTGTTTTCTACTAGGTTATTATTTTAATAATAAAGCACATGCAAAATCAATACTTGTCCAGAGAAAACATTAGAAAATCTTCCATTCCTCTCAGATATTAGAAATAATTTTGATTTTACCAGTTTCTCCTCCAATCATATTAGTATCATAATTATGTGCATAAAACAACTCCTTTTTATAAAAATATGATGGAGCCCTTGGTTGATTCCCACATTCCTTCCAGATGAGTAGTAGCATGTGTCTTTATTATATAGTGCACAGATTTTAAGTAAATCACTTTTTAAAGTTAGAGATTTTTGTTAAAACATGTTTCAAAGTACTATAATATTTAAAACCTCAGATTTAATTACTACTCTTAGTCTTCTGCACTTTTTCCCAGAAGATGAATCTCCTTCCCCAGCTGCTGGGAAGTAGGCTGTGCAGTCCTCACAATGGTATGACTGGGGTAAAACTGGACCAGAAAACTGTCAGAGATATTCAATGTTAGTCTAGAAGCATGGTGGAAACTCTCTTCTAGGCAGGTCAATACATTTCCATAGGTGTTCTTTAGAAATAGTTTAAGAGAACCAGAACTGTGATTGTCACTTATAGGATCTGTTCTGGCCCTATAGAGGCAATTTGGGTCACATCATATGTATTTTGGCAAGGTATCTGACCTGGTAGATTCAATATGGCATCTTATACAGTCATAGAAATTACTGTATGTGTATTTGTTTCCTGTTCTTACTTTAAACTTACCAGAAGCTTGAGTTTGAATATTCATTTTATGAATAGGTGTGTCAGATGATGTTTAATAATGACACTTAAATGTAGGAAATAGTTATTTAAGTCTTCAAACCTTACTGTATAATCACACATGAGAGATAAAAATGATTCCATGTTTATACCACTTTGTTTTCACAGAATAACATGTTGTTCATCCTACTTAAAATACAATAAAAATATTATATTTGAATATAAATTGTGATTACTATAATAAATAGACAACTACATTGCCTCTAAGTACCAAGACTCAGTGTCCATTGCAGCAAAACTAAGTGCTTATGATGAGCCCAAGCAAATACTCTCTGTGTCTTAGGTTCACAGATAAAATTGCTGGTGCTAATTCACTTCATATATTCACAAAGGATTTTCCATGGAGTTGGATGCTCTCTTGTCTTGAAAGTCGTCTTCTGAACTCATTAGTGGTGAAGTAGTATATGACTGGGTCAAGACAGGAATTCAGACTAGCAAGACAGAGGGCAGCAGAATGAAATATTAGAATCACCCTTCTGGCTAGGCAGCTTTGAATTTTGTTGGACTTGACCAGGAAATCTAAAGGAAAACTGAAGTGATAAGGTGCAAAGCAAATTAAGAATACTCCTGCACAGGTTAGAATCATCTTCAAGGCTTTCTTTTTCTCCCCAAGGTCTTGGACCACAGGATATTTATCATGCAGTGATAAAACTGTCTTCCAGGTACAGTAAAGGATAATCAGAAGAGGAGTGACAAACCCAATCAGCTCACCAATGGTCATCATGGCAATAGATTGGACCAGATTGACATTCCTGGTAGGAAGACCCACAAAGCATTTGGTTCTGTTGCCTGAAGTGTCATCACTGGTTCTGAAGAGAGGAAAGAGCAGACAGGCAAGGCAGATGATCAACCATCCAGCGATGCTGATGTATAGGTCATATTTCTGTTTGCAGTCATGGAAGCGAAAGGGATACATGAGAAACCAAAATCGTCGCACACTTATGCAGACCAAGAAGTAGATGCTTGCATACATGTTGACATACTTCAGGTAGAAACAGAACATGCAAAGACCAGTCCCAAATGGCCAGTCATGATTCAAGTAGTAAAAGATCCTCAGTGGCAGGGAGAGAACTTGTAGTAAGTCAGCAATGGCTAAGTTTATCATGAATATCACAGCCCTTTTGGTTTCTTTCATATAGCCATAAAATACCCACAAGGCTAATATGTTCCCTATGAGACCTGGCACAAGAATTACAGTGTATGTCACTGCATAGATAAAATATCGAAAATCTCCATTGTCTCCATTTGGCACAGCACAAGTGTCATTTGCAGGCATGTTCTTTTCCAGAGCAACTACCTTTGCCAAATGGTGGTTCAAAACATAAATTCACAATCAACTGCTACTCTTTCTAAAAGACTTATCAATGGGTTGTACAGAGTGAGTGTAAAATAGCTTCCTTTCTCCTGCTTTGGTCTGAGCCCCTGCACATAATTTTGGGGTTTTCAAAGAACTATCTGCATATTTTCCTTGGATTTTCTTTTATAGTAACTACACTGAAGTCTAGTGTGCAAACACAGGTGACAAGCTGTTATAATTTTCCCTCTTGTTTACTCTGTTATAAGGCCTTCTGGGATATCATGACAGTTGATTCCCATTTGGATCATGAATGTGCCACATAGAAGCTCTTCAAATTTCCATATGATGATAGCCATCTCTTTACAGGTGTTTGACAGGCTGTTTTTCCTTATTTTTGGCTCACATAGAAGAAAGATTTGCTTTAGTACTGAATGAGTCTGCAATTCTTCAGAGATGATTAGCTTGGATAGATCAGCTTTCTGAGAGATTTTCAGTTATGTGTTGAAAGCTAAAAATTGGGAAACAAAGGCAGCACTGCAAATGAAAAAAACAAATAAGCCAATTATTGTCTGCATTTTTTGCAAAAAAAGAAAAAGGCTATGTATACAAAAATCTATTCATTTGAATGGAAAATTCTGAAGTTAGGGTGATAAGCCAGTTTCTATAAGGTACTTTAGAATCACTGGAAAGCACAGCTAGAAGTAACTTGAGAGGTAATGTAGTCTGTGACTGAACCAACATTATCTGAGAGCTTGTTAGAAATGGGGAAGACTCTCAGACCCCACCTGGGATCTTTGGAATCAGTTTGCAGTTTAATGAGAACCACAGGTGATTATTATGCATATTAAAATTTGAGGGGCTCTGATTTAGACCATTGAGTCACAAATCACATTGTCAGACTCATCTGATGGTGTTAAAAAAATACAGTTTTCCACAGCTTTCCTGGTGTCTCCTCCAGAGATTCTGATTCATTATAGAAGGCCCCAAATTTGTATTTTTTAAAAGTTTCCCATATGATTAAGATATAGTTGACTGAGCATTTCTTGTTGAACCACCATTTTAGGGGCCACTGATTTGGCAGGAATCCTTCTCATATGTCTGAAAATAAGTGGGAAACCAGCCTCTCTTTAGTTAACATATAGTGTAATATTAATCTCAGTGATTTAGTGATTCATCACTTACATATAACAACCAGTGCTCAACACTCAATACCCCATCACTCATTTAGTCCATCTTCCACCCACCTCCCTCCATTAACCCTCTGTTCTCTATCTTTAAGGGTCTCTTACAGTTTGTTTCCCTCTCTCTTTTTCCCTCTTCCCATATGTTCATCTGTTTTGTTTCTTAAATTCCTCATATGAGTGGAATCATATGGTATTTGTCTTTCTCTGACTGACTTATTTCGCTTAGCATAAAACACTCTGGCTCCATTCACATCTCTGCAAATCAGCCTCTCTATAAATAGTTCATTGACATGGATCATTTAGTCACCTCTTAACTATCCAAGATAACAAAACATAGCACCAGTAGAGAGAGTCCAAGTTCCAAGGTGGTTGAATCGACTGGACTCATGACCTTTGTCTGAGGTAAATACATTTTAGCTTAGGAACTTGGATAGTTGCCCCAAGGCTGCTGAAATCCAGGAGGATTTAACTGGCTTAAAGATATGTGGGAAGAACAAAAGTGAAATAAGAATTATGAAACATTCTGCTTTATATTATCAAATCCCTGTGGCTTAAAGTGTGCTTTATTCAGCCCCTGAAGGAATTGTTATTGTTCTTATTTTGCCTCAATTGCTTCATAAGAAAAATAGCACATTTTGTTCAAAAACATAGTGTTCACTTTAACTAAAAGACCTGATGTAAAATATGAACTATGCATCATACTGAAGAGGTTAAATACTTGAGATTTCTCAGTTAAGGGCAAAGTAGAAACATGGTGTTATAAAATACAAGGAAACACAATTGTAAAGCATTATTGTTGAAAGAGTAATTAAAATTAGAGGTTGTTTAGCTCTGAAATTGAAATACGTCTTTGTAATATTTTCGCAGGTAGTGATTTTGGATAGGTGACAGGCCAAATCAGGTGGCAGACCGATCAAAAGCCTGGGGTTCCAACCTCCTTTTAACTATATAGAAGTCATTACCTTCTAATGTCACTGAATAAACATTAGAAATTTATACAAATATACATCCAGTGAACCTTTATTGAACATCCGTCTTCCCTATCATGACCAATGACTCTTCTGGATTTCATTTGAGCTGTAGCTCTTTCCAACTATACATAAGAACTCTTCTCTTGAATATTTCATTATCACTTCAAAATTCAACACATGAAAGTGATCTTTACTATTTATTCAGAATATGTCTTGTCAGATTATGTCACCTCTTTGGAAAAAAATCTCCTAATGACATTTTCTCTCAGAGGAAAAAACAAAGTTCTTTTCAATGGCCTACATCTTCTTACATGATCTGGTCCCCATTACATATCAAGCTCACCTCCTAATATTCTCTTGCCCTCTGCTCCAGCCACTTTGCCATTCTTGCTGTTAGGTGAACAGACCAGTAAACTCCTACTTCAAAGCCTTTGAATTGGCAGTTCCCTGTGCCTGAAATGCTTTAGACCAGTTATTTACTTCTTGCATTCATTCATCTCCTGCAGATATTTACCTAAATGTTACCTTTTGGTGAGGCTTCCCCTGATGTTTCTACTTAAAACAGCAGTTCTCTTCCAACATTCCGCATCTCCTTTCAGTATTTATTTTATTCATTTTCATTCATAATTAACATACTTTATGGTTTTTTTTTTTACTTATTTTGTTTTTATATATTTTCCCTACTAGAATGTAAAGTCCATGAAGACAGGGATTCTTATGTTTTGTCTACTTTGCTGTATGCTAGAACCAAAGACTGTGCAAAACACAAAGTAAGTTCTCAGTATTAGTTGAATGAAATCGTCACAGTAATAAAAATTAGTTGAATATAAAAATCAACATTCCCAAACAAAAATTATCATCTCTCAAAACTTCAAACCTGATTCTTCTCTAGGTTTCCTTATTGCTATTAAGTTCATCAATATTTTCCCAGGTTGTCTCAAAGTCTTGTAGGCATTGACTCTTTGTCACTTATTCTCCACTTCCAAACAAGTTTCTAAGGGGGAAATAGCATACTATGGGGGGAATTAATGTATGTTTAGAAGTTAGACTGACCTAGGTTTAAATTTCTGATCTTTCAATTAATAGCTATGTGACCTTGGGTATATGACTAAACCTCTCTGATCCTTAATTTTCTCATTGGTAAAATCAGAATAATCATAGTACCTAACCTATAGAGTCAGTGTAAGAATTAATTGTGCTATTGTATGGAATCTATTTTGCATAGTGTCTGGTACGTAATAAGTGCCCAATAAACACATGAGTTATAACTGATATTATTACTATTTTCTGCAATTGCATTATTTAACACAACCATCTCATTTTTAAAATTCACATTGTTTTTACTCTAGTTCAGGCCTTCATTAACTGAATTTGTCTCCCTATCCCATATCTTTTCCTAATCTATTATGTATAATGCCATCAGATATTTTTCTGAAATGAACTTTTTAAAGAGCATTAATGACTCCCTGTTGCTCATCAAATCACAACGTGCATAGCCTTGTAGTCAATGGCCTCCTTAAAATACAGTGCCTCCTACCTTTAGAGTTTTGTCTCCCATTACTCTCCTGGCATGATCCACACTCCAGCCGAAAGGAACTCCTTACTGTTCAAACTGACCTTTTTTTTTTTTTTCCCACAAGCATTTACACATTATGCTACTCATCCTGGAATATCTTCTTTTTGAATATTAGTCCTACCTATTTGTAAAAGCCTTTTTCTGTTCTTCGTGGACACTTTTGTGATGAACTCAACACTGTTATGCTAACCCCCTTTTTAAATACTCATTTATATCTCTCTCAAAGTACCTAACATTATCTACTTTTTAGTTAGTAACTTGTGTCTGTGTCTTATTTATGCCTCTGTTCCCCTGCCAATCCCACCTTACCACAATGAGGCCAGAAATCCCTTGAAGTGAAGGGCTGGGTCTTAAACACCTTTATATCCCCTGGAACACCTAGAGCCATGTTTAGAATGTGGTGGATTCAGCAAATATTTATTCAGCAAATATTTACTCAGCATCTACCATTTGCCAGGCACTATTCTTGGTACTGGGGATATTGACAGTGGAACAAGGTACATGATCTCTGTCTTCTTGGACCTTATTTTTCTAGTGAGGAAGAATGATAATTGCCACACAATATTAAAAAAATATGTGTTCATAGGCAATGTACAATGTAGTCTATAAGCACAAAAGAGGGGAAACAACTAAAATATTCAGAACATTTTCCTTAAGTAAAGCGAACTTAAAGTCATGACTACCCTTCTGAAGTCTATACTTTTCCTTTTGGTCATTCCCTCACTGCCCACATTTTAGTGCATTTTCATATGTATATCCTAGCCTGTAACCTTGAAATGCTCCTGAATAGAATGCCTCCCTTAAAATTCCTCTGGCTTCCTCTGGGAGAGCTGATCATGCTTACCCTTTGTTTAAATACCATTATTTTCTAATAGGGAAAGTTACCTGGGATGACTGAAAAGGTTTTCCATCATGGAAAAAGCCCTAGTTAGCTGTTCCATAATGAATATAAATTGTCCATTATCTAAGAGTGTTGAATACAAAAAAAATGAAGGAGGCATTTTTTTTTTTTCAGAGAATGCCACTATTTTTTTGAGATTTTCCTTTCTCAGGAAAAAATTCATATTTAACAGGCACTGAAACAGACTCCAGTTTTGAATGAGGTATTTATTTGAAGAAACTTGCCAGACTCCTTGATCAAACTATTATTTTTTCTTTTGCTTTCATGAGCTTATTCTTCCTTAATTTTACTTACTTCCTGATATAAGTAAAAAAGAAAAAAATAAAAAAAATGAAAAAAAGAAATAA